TGCCTTTAAAATTTAGGGATCCCATTCCATTTCTTATTTGTCTTTCAAGATTCTAAGAATATCTTAGAAGCCTTTAGGAATAAATATTTTTATTCCTGAAGAGTGTTCTGAAGTAAGCAGAGGAGGGAAGAGTAAATTGTTTGCAGATGCATGCAATCTAATCAAAGCAAAACCCAAAAGTGCTCACACACACACACACACACACACACACATTTAAATCAGATGTGCAGAACAAATTTTAAACCAGGTCTTCAGAACTAAAGGTAAATTCCCAAGAAAAGACACAAGGTCCTCACAAACTGTCAGTTCATGTGGAGACCAGAGGACTCTCCCGGGTGACGGTGTCCTCATGTCAGAAGGGGCTTGCTAGAAGAGATTGTCTTCTATAGTCTCACAAGGAACGACAGGTCTTTCATTAAGTTTCCTTATCATCAAACCAGACAACAAACATAGTTGAACAAACTCTGCATAAAGAGGAGACACGGGGTCAGCAAGGGAAAGTCGTGAAAGCAGAGAGCTCAGAAGGACTTGGTGTCACACCCTGGACTCCAGCCTTCCTAAGTCGACCTTGCAGCAGGTGCCACCCCCCTCCCTCCACCTCTCCCTCTCTCCCTTTCTTCCTTTTTTATTTTCTTTCTTTTCCCACATCTGACCCCAAATTACATCAACCTAAATAACAGAGTCTCCAAAAATAAGGAATTTACTCAGGAACAAACATTGCAGTGGGGGTACACATGGATGTATCCAGGGAGGCAAAGACGAGGAATTTTAAAGGTAAAATGAAAAGGGCTCCATTAGTTGTTTCAAAGGATTATCTGTGGCCACAGGATCGACAGCAAGGTTGGCATCAGTCCATGGTTTGGATGGGCAGTTGATGGGGCAGATATCCTTGGAGGAGCTTTTGTTAGTTTGTTTGTTTTTGTTTAGTAATTATAAGAGTAGCCTTTGTTCAAGTGTGTGTAGAACTAGAGCTCCTGCAGGGTGAGAGGGGACCTGACGGGTTGCCCTGGAGGAACATTTTTTGGTCAGGTTGCGTTGGCCTTGGTGCAAGGCTGTGGTTCTGGCAGAGCCTCTGTCATAGCTCTTGTTCTTAGGAGTCTGTACATGAGATCCCCTCCTTCACCACCTCCCAGCTGTGTTTATTTATTTATGTTGTTGGAGTTTGACACAAGTGACTCCATTTTTATTCTGACAATTACCATTAATCCAAGGTCAATTTTTCATGCAAAAGAGGAAAGGATTGTGTTCCCCTGCAGGGTAAACTAATAGCATCCCTCAAGGTGAACCTGCAGGTGGACATTCTCAGTGAACGAAACTAAACTCAAAGATATATGATGAGGGGAGGCTGGGGTTGTGGCTCAGCAGTAGAGCGCTCCTCTAGCACGAATGAGGCCCTGAGTTCAATCCTCAGCACCACATAAAAAAATAAATAAAATAAAATATTGTGTCCAACTACAACTAAAAAAAAAATATTCTAAAACTAAAGATGTACCATAAGCACTTAAAAATGGAAACATAACTTGGAGCTAGACAAATATGTCCATACTGTATTTAAATGTCTGCATGTCTGTGTGTGTGCGCACAAACGTGCATGCTGGGGGTTGAACTATGCTGAGCACACACTCAACCACTGAGCTACACCCCAACCACAACACCTGGATATCAGTTCCTCCACACAGTGGCTGTCACATGGGGGACACATAGTGGTCTCTCAAATCCCGGAGAAGGAAACTAAAGGAGATTTTTGGAACTTTAAACTGCACCTAGGTTTTTAAACATTTCTTCCACCAAGAATCTACAACCTACCAGGTTACCAGGGGTCTTTCTGTTTACTAATCAGAGCTCTCTACATCTGTCATGAAACGGCATCGACCATCGGTGCATTGTAAGATGACAGGCTTCAACTTCTGTGGGCCACACAGAAGCGAACGTGGGATGCCTTCAGACTTGCTGAAGTGTCACAGGTGGCCTCTGGGCCTCCCTGTGTCTTGGTGGACCTCTGCTGGGGAAGCCTTGCTCTGGCCTTCCTGACCCGGCTTCCCATTTCCACCTGGTAGAGAATGCCAGCTGCAGGACCGTGACAGCCCAGGGAGATGTGGGCCTTGTTCTGTCTTGGGAACCTGCACAGGGCCCCTCAGAGGGGCACCTGCCTCTGGGAGAGGGGCATCTGCCTTCACATTTTCTTTTCCATCGGCTCTGGGGCAGGGCTGGGAGAGCTAGACCAGTACCTCACATTTTTTAAGTGTGGCTTCTCTGGTTCTCAGGTTACTTCCATGGGCTTCCGGAAGCCAATTCCATGAAAAACTGTTAAGGGCCTTCTGTGTTTGTCAGAAGCTGACAGTGAAGCCGGCTGCTCCAGGTTAATGTGCTACCGAGGGCACAGGCCCTTTGCACTGGCCATGTGGGACACTGCCCTTCAAGCCAGGGTATCCCTTTTTTTATCAGATGGACCCACGGTGATGGCCCCAGAGCTGCATGCTCTTGAGGACAGGGATGTCAGGCCTCTCCCTGCCTCCCTGTCTCCATGGGACAGGTCATCCTTTGGGGGGATTGCTTCCTAACTAGCAAGGATCAGAATTCCCCCTTTCCCCTCTTGTACTGTAGATAAGTCGTATACGTGATTTTACGACTTTTGTCATTAAAGATTAAAGATGTCAGATTCATCAGAATGCTCCAAGTGTTTGATACCTGTTACATGAACCGATTGTTCTATGTGCCTCTCTCTCTCTCTTCCGTGCCGGGGTTTGAACCCAGGGCCTTGCACGTGCTAGGCCATGGCTCCACCACTGGCCTCCATCCCCAGTCCACAGGAAATTTGTTTTTAAATAAAAATACTCTTTGGGTAAACATTCTGCGAGGGGCTGACCTCACTCAGAGAGGTCCATTCCAAGTCCTGGTTGGAGCCTGAGTCCCTCTGAGACCAGCCTGGGGACGCCACCCCTGAGAGTCCTTGGGAAGTGAGGGCTCCTTTGTCTTGTCTCCCGGCTTCCTGGCATCGTCTCCCACTTGCTGGCAGTTGGGAGGAGGGTGAGGCCTCCCCCCAGAGGGGCCCCTGCCTCTGGAACTGGAGACAAGTCTGGCCCCATCTTCTCCCCGGGAACACAGCCAACCCAGATGTTTCCCAGCCCCTCCCCTGACCAGCCCTCCCTAATGGGCCCACCTCCAGCGTTTCTCTCACCTTCCAGACCCTTCCTCATGTCTTGCCCCAGAGTTCTGCCCCCAGCTGGAGAGGGGCCAAGGACCTGACTCTTGCCTCCGTTTTGCTGAGGTTTGACATTCCTTCGCCTTCACCGCCCGCTTTTGGTATTCTCAGAAGGAACCGGCCTTTGTCTGCAGACTGGCTCTCAGGACAGGGAAGCTGGCAGAAGAACATGCCTTTGCTCTGATGCCCCTGAGCCAGAGACAGGCCCTAAGGATGACAAATATACACAGACCATGGGGTGTGCCTGCGTGGGCCCCAGGGGGTCCTGCTCCTGAGGTGTGGGACACCATCCCCAGGCTCCTGGGAGTCGTTGGACAATTGTTTGAATCAGTGATGTAAGTAATGGGGGGAGGGGTCCGAAGGAGGGGGTTTCCATGTGGATTGATGTCCACAGGGCTGTGCGTGGGAAGGTGTTTTGAATAAGAGCAAACACTAAGCAGCTTGTGCCCTTGTTTACAAGCCCTAACTCTACTGAGGAGACCCCATGTTTATAAACAGGTGGCCAAGACTGAACCCAAACAAGACTTCCTCCTCCAGAGTCATTTATGACATCTTGAGAAATGCGTGGGTTTGTCTTGGGCGACTATTACAGCGTTGACTGCAGGAAGAACACAAGATAATGTGATTCTCTTTTTTTTCCCTCATATTTTATTGGTGCATTATAGTTTTACATCACGGTAGAGCTCATTGTTACATATATTTGTACATGCCCATGATATGACTATATAATTTGGCCAGTATCATTCCACAGCAGCTAATTTTTTTTTTGGGGGGGGTGCGTACCCAGGGGTGCTCAACCACTGAGCCACATTCCAACCTTTATTGTATTTTGTTTAGAGACAGAGTCTCGTTGTGTTGCTTAGGGCCTTGCTAAGTTGCTAAGGCTGGCTTTGAATTCGTGATCCTCCTGCCTCAGCCCCCTGAGCCACTGAGATTACAGGCGTTCACAATGGCACCCAGCTGATAAGGTGATTCTTAATACTAAACCCTCACTGGACCAAGAAAAGTCCTAGAGGAATGTCCTTGCTCCACAAGGCCAGTGTTTATTGAGCATCTATTATTAATATGTCCCAGACTCTGTGCGAAGCCCATCATAAGTACCGTCTCATGTCATTCTCACCCAACCTGAGAGTGGGGTTGGTTGTCCCCATTTTACAGATGAGAAAAATAAGGAAATGAGTAACATTCCTAGAATTATACACACCAAGTAACAGGAAGAGGCCTCCTGCCCAGGCCTGTCTGGCCCCAGGGCCTCCAGGGAAAGAGGCACTGGATCATGGGCCTGGGTGGGCCCAGTGTTCTCCCTGGTAAAATGGGCAGTCCAGTGTCTCTTAGCTTTCTCATGGAAGCTGCTCCAACCACAGAGGGTGGTGAGAGACCCTAGGATACAGCCTAAAGAGGTTGCCTCAGCCAGAATTTTCTCTGGAGTTTAAAAATATCTTTTAATTTGATTTCATAATACACATTTTTGTTCTCATTTTATTTGGTGAAATACACGCAATATAAAATTTACCCCCGTAACCGTTTCGAAGTGTTCAGTTCAGAGACATGAAACACATTCACGTTGCCAGGCGCAGTCGCACACACCTCAGCTTGGGAGGCTGAAGCAGGAGGATCCCAAGTTCAAAGCCAGCCTTAGCAACTCAGCAGAGCCCTGAGCCATTCCACGAGGGGATGGGGATGGGACTCAGTGGTTAAGTGCCCTTGGGTTCAATTTCTGGGGCAAAAATAATAAAAGGACATTCACATTGTGCAGCCGTCCCCTCTCCAGAACGTCTTCCTAACCCCAACTGGAAACTGACACCATTAAACACTAACTCCCATTGACCTTCTCCTAGGCCCTGGCCACCCCAGTCTGCTGATTCGGTGAGGCTGACTGCTCCAGGAGCCTGGTAGGAGTGGAATTCCTGGTCTTCTTCAGGGAGGCCGATTGGTTCCTTTCTGACTGGCCTGTTTCACTTGGCGTCACGTCCTCAAGGTTGGTTTATGTTGCATGTTTAATACAGAAATAACCACGACCCCGTCATAAGCCATCACCCAAACTCCTTACCACTCCCAGTCCTAAAGCTCATGTTCCCAGAGGCTTGTCTTACCTGCTCAGGGTCCCTGTATCCCCAAGGTCACGGCCCTCAGCATGGGAAGCACTGCCCAGCCAGGCCTCAGCTCCAGCTCTGGCAGGCGTGACGTTCAGGGTCTGCACCTCGCAGAGGCCAGTGTGGGCGGTCCCTGTGGGCCAGGGCATGTGCCACTCCCTTTCTGGGACACTGCTGCCTCGTCTTTCTGTCCTCAGCCTTTGCTCTCAGCTGTGGATTCCCAGGTGTTTTCAATTTGATGTTTATTTTTATTGACGTTAATCTACTGTCATCTTCTTTTAATTTAAGCTGAGGAAAGCGGCCATGCAGGACGGTTAGCTTGCCCAAGATGTCACAGCCAGCCATGGGTGACCCACCCTGCAGCCGGGACAGGCTGTGCAGCCTCATGCGGGGCCCAGGGGACACCAGTTGGGATGTAATTCCAGCCTGAGAAGGTCGCTCCTTGGAATCCTGGTTCCTTTGTGGTTGTGTCGTATTTGATTTGTACAAGTCTGGAGTCTCTTACTTGCAACTACAAAATTCAAAATTCTCTGAAAACTGAAAGTTTGTCAGATCTGACCTGATTGTAGGCCACTGAGGGTCTTCATTACTCTATATTTATGTTTTGTACAGAGTCAGGAATGTGTGTGTTGTTCTGTGTGGTGTTTTGATTAAAGAGGGCTTCCAATCCTGCTGGGGATATTAAATAATATGCAGTTTAGTAACTTCTGAGATCTGAAAGATTCTCAATCCTGAAAAACACTTGTCTCAAGTGTGTCTGATGAGACATTGGGACCTAGATACGGTAATCTTCCTTATTTGAGGGTGAGATGTTCCAAGACCCCCAGTAGTTACTTGAAATTGCCTACCATACCAAACCCCTATATATTATTTTTTTCCTATTCGCAAATTTAGTTTACAAATTAGGCATATTGACAATAAAATAGAAAAATTTAACAATATATTGTAATCAAAGTTAAATTTTAAACATATGAATGGTTTATCTCTAGAATCTTTCATTTACTATTTCCAGATTTTCAAACCACACTTGACAGCTGCTATCTGAAACTGCGGAGGGTAACCAAGGATAAGAGGGACTGCCATAAAAATAATAGGACTGCAGTGACAGAAAAGTTGTAAAAATAAAGAGCTTAGACCCAGTTTTCTGTCTCTAAGTGGCATTATGCTTAAATAGGAGTTCCATCTGGGCACAGTAGCACATCCTTGTAATTCCAGCAGTCTGGGAGTCTGAGACAGGAGGATCAAGTTAGAGGCCAGCCTTAGCAACTTGGTGAGATTCTGTATCAAAGTAAAAAATAAAGAACTGAGGATGTAGCTCAGCAATAAAGTGCCCAGTACCAACAAATAGATGATAGATAGATAGATAGATAGATAGATAGATAGATAGATAGATAGATAGATAGATAGATAAGGAGTCCCTGGACTGGAGATGTAGCTCAATGGTAGAGCACATGCCTACCATGCAAGAGGCCCTAGGTGCAATCCCCAGCACAGCAATATAAATAAATAAACTAAAATAGGGGTCCAGGACAACAGGTCTCAACATTACTGAAGTTAGAGAAGCATCTCCAAAATGGCAAGTTGCTTCCCTTGCTGAAGTTAGCTTGCAGAGCCTGATGGAAAGCTGGGAGCCCCCAGAGCGTGAGTTTCTGAGTTACATTGCCAAACTTTGGCCCAAGACTCAAGCGACCCGTGGGCATCTGGGCTCAGAGACATCCACACACTGAGGCTGCAGCCAGGGAGAAGATGAGAAGCGCCCCGGGCTAGTGTGGAAGCTGAGACCACTTCTGGCCTTTGGGCTGTCAATCCAGCACCCCTCTTCCTGGTGACTCCAGGGACTGCAGCAGCAGAGCAGGGACACCAAGCCTAGAGCCTGCTGTGCCGAACCCTCAGAAAAAGACTCTGCACCCCGCACGGGGCACGGAGGCCATACCATAGATGCCCACCCTAAGCTGTGAGACCCAAAGACCCCTCTGGACCTGTCCCCTATAGGCTGGCTCCACACTCCACACTGGCCCTTGTGGGGTCTGGACCCCTCACTGAGGACACAGGCAGGTTCTTCCCGCTCTCTCGACATCTGGAGAGTTCAGGTAATCAGCTTCTGGGGGACTGTAGCCGCGACCCCCAAAACAGAACAGGGGCGAGGGGTTGAAATCTCTTGGGAGGCCGTCAGGCCAGGGCGTCAGGAAAGCCTTTCCTTGCCCTCTGTCCACTGACCTCCTGCCCCATCTCCAGAGCAGTGTCCTGCTGCCACTGATTCCCACAGGTCTCCCCCTCCTCCTGATGTCCCTTCCTGGGATCTGAATTGAAGAGGGGTAGGGACACACTAGGCCCAAGGTCACTGAGGGGACACCCCAGGAATACCTGTTCTTTCTCTCCAGATGACCCTCTTATCTGTGGGAAGAGGAGGGATCGTTCTGTCCTAGCTTTGCGGACAGGTTCTGTCCCCACAGGCCAGGTGACTTATTTTATGACAGTCACCTGGTCAGACATGCCAAGCACAGGGCTCTCACTCGGGGAGGCTTGGCTGGTGTCTCCAAGCGCTGGCTGAGACGTGGCAGTAAGAGGGAGGACCGAGGGCTGAGATGACACCTGGGAACAGCGGAGAGTGGAGTGACCCACTTGATGGATGAGTAGTTAGAATGGACTCTGGGGAGGTGGTGGAAACTGCAGGTACTGGGGCGTGGTTGGAGGAAGCCGGTGACTGGGCACTGCACTCTATCTCTGGCTTCTCTCTCTCTCTCTCTGCTTCTTGGCCACCATGAATGGCAGCTTTTCTCTGCTATACTCTCCCCACCAGGATGTTCTCCTTCACCTTGATCCAAACAATGGCATCAGCTGAGAGACCTTTGAAGCCATGAGTATTTTTGTCACATGAATGTCAACCTATCACCGAGACCATCTGTATGAAGGGAAACCAATATATTTAAGCTTAATAATAGGACTATTTGAATATTCAGATTTTAAGATCAGCTTCAGTCTGAATTAACACATAGCCAGGTGCTGTGGTGCACAACTGTAATCCCAGCGGCTTGGGAGGCTGAGGCAGGAGGATCACGAGTACAAAGCCAGCCTCAGCAAAAGCAAGGCACTAAGGAACTCAGTGAGACCCTGTCTCTAAAAAAATACAAAATAGGGCTGGGGATGTGGCTCAGTGGTCAAGTGCCCCTAAGTTCAATCCCTAATACCCCCCCCCAACACACAAAATGCAACCCCTTACTAAAGTGTAGACTCTCCAAGGGAAGGGGCCATGGGTATTTGGAGGGAGGCTATGGTGGAGCATTTACACCGTGGAACTGATTGCCCCTACCCAGCAGGGCTCTTTCGGCTCCAGAGTGCTGGCTGTTAAATATTGACCACAGCCGGTTGGGGCTGCCTCCAGCTTCTGCAGCAGTCTAGCCACTTAGATATTCCAGGAATAAATACATGCATGAACAACCACCACCACAAGAAGAAGGAAGCAGAGAAGTTCTGTTCAAGAGTTCAGCAGAACTCACGCACGGGGCGCCACAGGGAGACGGTAGATGTTCATTTCCTGGGGGTTCATTTCTAGGGTTCATTTTCACCTTCCCATCTGGGGGGGCTGCCAACTCTCGTGTCTTAGGGCCTGGCAGATGAGATGCAGGCATGCTCTATGGGGTCTGAGTCAACAAGGACCATTCAAGGTGTTTTCTTGGGGGTGACCTTGGTCAGCATTGCCGGAAAGAGGTGGTGGAAGTAGCCCAGCATCCAGCAGCATAGTTCCTAACCAGAGCCATTCCTGGGCCACAATCTGCAACATTCACAGGCGTTCCAGCCCATTTCCATGCCTGACCCTCCAGCCTTCCTGTCAATTCCATGAGCTCCCAAGCTCCCAATGTCCTTCCTCGAAGCAACTTTTTTATTTAAGTTGACTGGATCCTTTTTTTTGTGGTTTGCAACCAAGAACGCTGTGAGTCAGTTCAGGTCCCTGGAGGAGCAGATGCCAAGATGGGATTAGGTGTGCAAGGGAGCAGTGGAAGGAAAGACCCATGAAGATAAACATGGAGGGAACCATGGGGGAGCCATGCGGGGAGCCAGACAGGGAGACTTGGGAATGTGGAAGAGAACCAGGCACCAGCTGGAGGTGCCAAGCAACTGGGCTTCCCACAACCCTCTCCAGAGGGAAAACTTTAGGACCACTGCAAACCTCTAGCACAGGATATAACAAGGAAAAAGAGATTTCTGCACTTGCAAAGTTCCCAGTTTGGAGGGAGAAAAGAGACCAGTAGAAAAGAGAAAAGAGACCAGCAGGGCCAACCCTGGCCCAGGGGCCACAGAGGCTGGGGTAAGGGAAGGCTTCCTGCCAGAGGTGGATGGTAGAGCAGCTCCCTGTCTTAACCTTGAGCTTTCCATCCCAACCCAGCCACACAGGGATCTGACCGCTTATTTCTTAGCTTTGCCTCTAGTTATGCAATTTACAGAAATGACCCAATGTAGAGAATTAGGGGGCGTGTGGAGCAGGAGGAATTAGCATGTATTCAGACCCTAGTGGGAGCTGTATGGAAGCATGCCATCTCCACGGGGCTCATGTGAGCAGGTTGTGACTGAATGAGGTGACATGACTTGCCCAAGTTCATACACTGTGAGGAGCAAAGCTGGTTTCCAACCCAGGTCTGTCGGTCTCCCAGGACTTTGCTCCTGCTGCTGCCCCAGGCTACCCCGATCCCCAAATGGAAGGGGGTCTCTGGTTCTGCCAGTGCGTGTCTTGGAGCCAGTACAGAAGGGAATTTACAATAGGAAGGAAGTTTTCAGAAAATTTTCTGAAACTACCGTATTTCTGTGCACTGATTATTGCTGGGCACTGTGCTCCCTTGTCTCTCTGAGGTGGGCAGAGGAGAACGTGAGGCCCAAGACAGTGAGGCCCAAGACAGTGAGTGGCGGGGCCTGGCTGTGGGCAGGTCCTGCCTCCCCAACCTCAGGGGTCTCTCTGCAGTTGGGGAGAGGAGTAAGAAGACCCAAGTCTGGGTGTCTGAGACAAAGGGATCAAAGGAAATCCAGGAGCAGATCAGTAGGATGAACTCCTGGGGCCTCAGCTGCCCCATTCAGCCTTGGGAGAAGCATTTCTCTCCCATTAACAGGGACCTTTGACCAAGCTCAGAAAGGTCCTAGCTGGAGGGGCCAGGGACTAGGACTTTTAGAAACTTTTTTTTTTTTCTTCTAGAGAGGCTCTGGGTAATTCCACTCTGCTTTCTCTGCCAAGCTTTATCTTTGCCCAAGAATTCACACTCCTCCCCAGGGGCCCCTGGGACACAGCTGCTGCAGCCCCTCCTCTCTACCCTGATAGGTAAGAAAGGCCCTGGGGTTTGTGTTTTAACACGCACTCTGTCCCAGCATCAGCGAGGGCTCAAGGCAACGACTGCAAAAGCCCAGCTCTGAAGAGGGCTGAGCCCCCCCCCATGGGTGACTTTTCTCTGCTCACAGGAGATCAGGGAGAAGTGACTGGCCAGAACCAGCAAGGGGCCAAAGGCAGAAGAGGATGGGGGGAGGGAACCAGCCTCTGTGAGCTTCCCACCTTCCACAGGCTCAGGGCCAGTGCCATTTTCCTACAGATGAGTGAATTCCAGTTTTAGAAAAGGAACGACAGGCAAGGGGTGCTTTGCTAGTGAGAAAAGACAAGCGAGAAAGGAAATTAAATTTACCACATTTACTTAGCTTCTGCCCTTGAGGCCAATCAGTGCCCTGGGCACAGGAGATGGGGATGCAGGCCTTACCCTCTGGGAACTCAGAGCTGACTCAGGGGACTGAGCACCACTGAGATGCACCACAGAACTACAGCGGCAAGAACTGAGGGAGCAACAGCTCTGCCCTGGGGGTGGTTTGCGGAAGGCTTCCACAGGTGAAATTTGACCAGGGTTTTGAGAGATGAGTAGGAGTTAGAGGGGCTTGGGACAGTACATTCTAGACAGTGAAAAAAGCTGGCTGGGATGTGGGGATAAGCAACACGAGTGGAGAAATTAGTTGCAGCTGAAGTAGAGAATTCAAGGGTGGAGGACAAAGAGGGTGGCTGGACACGAGGGGTGTGGGGAGTGATGGAGGGGCTACGGTTAAGGAACAAGGGCAAGTGAGATCACAGAGGCGACTGGCGCAGACCCAAGACAGGAATGACCCGGAGCCCCGGGAAGGGAGGAGAGGAGAAGCCAAGCCTTGGCCAGGACCCAAGAGGGTGGAGGCACGGGGCTTCTCTGGTCACCACGGAGACCTCTCCGCGGGGGCACTGTCCTCCCACGGAGATCGGAGCGGGTGTCCGCGGGGCTGGGTCGGGGGAGATGGGTGGGGGGAGATGGG